CACTACTTTACATTGTAGCAAAGTGTCATTTCTTCAGTGTTGTCACATGAAAAGATATAATAAAATATTTACAAAAATGTGAGGGGTGAACTCACTTCTGTGAGATACTGTATATATATATTACAAATTATTAAATTACAAATTATTATATATATATTACAAACACTAAGATTGTGTTCACTAACATTAGTTAAAGGTCCCATGACATGCTGCTTTTTAGATGCTTTTATATAGGACCTATCGCCATTTCTAGCCACTGGGGGACCATAGGCAGTCTAGGGGAACTCATATTAATGTTAAAAAACCTCATAAAGTGACATTTTCATGCCATGGGACCTTTAAAAGTTGACATGAATAAAAAATAAATTAATAAATGTATTAATCTTGATTGATGTTAATTTCATTGTTAAATTTAATGAAAACATTAGTAAATTCTTTATGAACTTATATGAAAAGTGTATGTGTGTGTGTATATATATATATATATATATATATATATATACATACATACATAAACACACACACACAAAAAGTGTTATAAATGCAGTAATAAAAAATAAATAGCATTTACTAGTCTATGTGACCTTATTGTAAAAGCGTTACATTTTTCTCTCTCTTATGGAGATGAAATGTGACCTGGACATTTTTGTGAGATTCACCTTATGAAGAGGTACCCTTATTTGGGTATTGAGCAAGACCTGTTGAAATCTCCCCCGTAGCTGTGGGGCTAAACAGATGTTGTGTCTTCGAGCGCGGCTGGCTGACAGGTTTTGGACTGCGTGGATCTGGTTTGGTTGATCATCTGAATGATCTGCATCAAATCTCTCCTTGTGTTTCTACCAAAGACTGCTTCAGCCACACACACATCTGTACATCCTGTATATAAACATGATCACACGGTTTGGAGAGTACGTTCACTGAAGATCCATCGTGCTAAATTGTATTTTTTTAACACAAAGTATGCAACAAGCCAGAGATGATCTCAACTGGGATCTAAAACAATAAATGTGACTGTTACATCATTTGATTTGTATGCATTCAAGCGGAATTCTTCCTCCATTCATCTGTTGTCGATTTGCATCTCTGAGAGTCCGTTATACTCGGTTCTTCTCAAAGCGGTTTGACTTGTGTGTGTGTGTAGGAGAAATAGTTCACTTAAAACAGAACATTCTCTCATTATTTACTCACCCTCGTGTTGTTTCAAACCGAATGACTTTCTTCTGTACAACACAAAAGGAGATGTTTGGAAGAATGTTCATGCTGCTCTTTTCCAGACATCGGAAACGGCATGGAAAGGGATGAGACGTAGTCCGCACAATTAAAGTGTCATATTCCAAGTCTTCTGAAGTCTTTATGTGCCGCATTTGAAATAGTTATTTACTAAAATCTTTTAAATCTTAATTATGATCAGTTATGAGACACATGACCACTGCCATTGATATCAAACCTGCTGCACATTAACACATTATTTAAATATGTGCAAATAAGTTTTGAGAGTTGCTGCTGATACTTCTTGGTGCTTTTTTATTCCCTTCCAATACGCTGAAAAAATCAGCAGGAACATTCTGTGCAATGTTTGTGTTACGCAGAAGAAACAGCATGACTTTGAGTTTGGACCTAATGATGACAGTTTTATTTTTAAGTGAACTATTCCTGTAGGCTACTAAGCTGTGCAGACCTTAAAACCCCGCTGCTGTTTGGAGAAAGAGACACATCCGTAACCGATTAATTTAGTGTCTTTAACAGTGTAGATCATGCTTAACAGGGCTTAGACTTCACACTTTACGGCAGTGGCACTTTTGTAAAACATTGAAGCCTAAAGAAATAATCCAATAGCCTTGCAGGGACTTTATTTCCAGACGTCCTGCCCACTGCTGAGAGACGCCTCTCCTCGAGCCTGTCAAACGGGCCGGTGATGTTCAGCAGAGCTTTTTTATATCTTATGAATCCATCTGAACTCTGTGTTGCTGAAACGCAAAATGAAGGATCAGACGAGGTTTTGTTGCCCCTCGGAATGATTCCTGAATGGTTTCATCATCAAACGTCTCGCAAAAAAAGTATTAACAGATTTCAATCTGAATATTATGAAAGCGCCCTTGTCTTTCCCCAGATTTCCTGCTCATGTGTTTAATAACAGAGTACATCTTGTCAAAGCTGTTTGTGCAATAAATGAACAGAACATGTCGGAACATTTTAGATCTTTTGTCCTCTTTTATTATTGCTAATTAAAGGGATAGTTCACCCAAAAATGAAAATTTCTACTGAAGAAACAAATTCACCTACATCTTGGATGCCCTGGGGGTAAGCAGATAAACATCAAATTTTCATTTTTGGGTGAACTATCCCTTTAAGTCCGTCCAATCAGAGGTCTTGCCTGTAAAGCACACTTCCTCTTCCTGATGCTCCATAGTTTGCCAAAATATGTTGTATACATCCAAACTGCACTGCCTAGAAATTTCTGTCCCAGCACAGTCCACTCAACCTGATCTTTCATTTCCAGAAAGATTCATGTGTCAGATTTAAACATAGTTTTCTTGATTGCCAAACAGTTGATATGGTTCTGCACAAAATTATTACAAATGCAAAATAATGTTATTTCTGAGATGACAAAAATGTAGCATACTACAATTGTATTTATTTAATGTTTTGCATACTGCTTTTTCAATTATTGCTGGTATAGTTTATTGTATTAAACGATAAGGTGTGAAGAAAACGTATACTGTGAATATAGTGAAATGTTTATAAAAATGTTATTAAACTAATAATATTAATATTCCACCAAATATACTTCCTGTCTGGTGAGCTAATGATAATATATAGATAGATATTATGAGTCATAATTGTTACTATATTGTGTATTGACCAATCAGCATCCAGGATCTGTGCATACTTGGAATGAATACAGTGTATTCAGCGATAATACATTTCATATAAAGTGGCATTAGCATTAGAGTACTAGGGAGTTTCAAAATGACTTAAAGGGGTCATATGATGCTATTTTAAAGAAATTTTTGTCTCAACTTTCACCTTGCGCATGCGCTGTTGTACGCGGACCGTCCGCGCGGCTGTCCGCGAGCCCTCCTGATGACGAATATGACGTAATGTGGACGCGGACGGCCGAAGTATACTTTGGCCTTAAGCCTGCAGCACTAGCCGGTGTGTTCGACTAGAAGAGGTGCGGCGCAGATCGATCAGTGTTTGACATTG